AAAAAAAAAAAAAAGATTCTGTAGGTTAAGATGGAACAGGTTCACACAGTTCTTATTCAGCCTTATTTTAGTGCAAGAAAACTTTAAAGCCTTTTCAATGATTTAAAAGCTTCATGTGCAGCAAGTGAAGATGATTATGGTGAAGAGTATGTTGCCAAGAGGGGTTGATTCAATCATTTCAAACTGAGGGCAAATTTACTTAACAGTAAAGGGCAAGTAACAGTTGTCCGTAAGTCAGACATTCATAACCTGGGGATTGCCTGGACTATGCAACCATAAGGGTCAATGATGAGTTCCACATCATAACAAGGAGGCATGTGGAGTACATAATGCTAAATGAAATGAATCATGTATATAAAGACAAATACATGATTCCTCTTTTATAACCAGACAAGAATATATAGAGAGCAATGGTTACCGGGAAGCAGAGGGACTGTAGCTCGGCATCAGGAAGAGAGAGAAGGAATGTTTTTAGATCATAGAGACTTCTTATTTTTGGTGATGGGAAAAGTGGGACCAAACGTGCATATAGTGATCATAGTACAACAAAGTAAAAAAGAGTATTTGAGCACATATGGATGAGTATAGGCATATTGGTATGTGGGTAGATACAGGTGTACACATAGGTGAGATTTTATAGAAGTATATCTACATACGTGTAAATACAAATATGGGGTGCAGGCACATATATTCACTGAAGACACAAATACAGGTATTCCTTAGGCATAACCAAACACCTTTCATGATTGGTTTTCTGGACTTGAAAGCTTAAAACCATAGCCTCATGGGACAACTCAATCAACTTGTATAACACAGTTCACAAAACTCATCATCTGCATCTTAGAAAAGTGAGTAGTAGCATCTGGGTCTTAAAGGCTTGTGAGTGAACATCAAAGACACAACTACTGGTCTCTAGTTATCAAGGGCAAAACTGTAAGAAGGTCATCAAAAGCTCAGAGAAGAAACAAATCCACGCAAGCCATGGTCTCATCTGTGGTCTCAGGACACAGAAGAACTGTGTCCAGAAGACACAGAACTAGATGGTGCCTAGCTACCACCATAGACCATTCTGACCAGGGTCACAATAGATAGTCCAAGATAAAATGGGAGAAAAATGTGGAGAACTCATTCAAAAAAAAAAAAAAAAAAGTCAAACAAACTGCAACAGTAGAGAACAGAGACTCCCTGAGACTGTCCCCCTAAAACATTATTTACCTAAAAGTAGTCCTATCCCTTAAGATCACCTTTTAGCAAAACAGCAGAGTGGCACACAAAACAAAGGCAAGATCAGTGCCCTACTTAAAAACATCAGTACGAGACCAAAGGTCAATAATTACTCAAAAGCAAAAATTAAGAAGATAAGGGGGCAGGGAAACAATAGTACTAGAAATGGAACAAACAGAACACAATTAAAGAAAATGCTGACCCACTGTGATAAACGTAACCAAAGTCACTGAACAATTTGTGTGGAAAGTGTCAAATGGGAACCTAACTTGCTGTGTAAACTTTCATCAGAAACTCAATAAAATGCTATTTTTAAAAAATTTTAAATTGAAGGGAAAAAAAAAACAACTCTCTGAATACAAACATTATTAAGTGAAAAAAAACAGCTACAGACCAATTTGCGTAATATGCTCCCATTTGTCAGGGAAGAACAGAGTAGGAGAAACATATTTATGTACACTTTTATTTGCAAAACTACATCTATAAGCATACATAAGAAATTTCTCCTCCAGATAGGAGAAATAGGACCCAAGGATGGAAGGTTTCTTTTTTTAACCATCTTATACCTCTTTAATTTTATACCATATGAATGCAGTAACTGATACAAAAATCAGTAATTTTTAAATAATCACTAATTAAAAGAAAAACTTTCCCTAAGACAGTTTCCTCTTCTGCAAAGTGTAAAATCCCTGGGTGGTGCAAATGGTTAATGCACTGCTCAACTATTAACTGAAATGTGAGAGGCTCAAGTCCGTCCACCAGTGCCTTGGAAGAAAATCCTGTCATCCATTCCCAAAAAATCGGCCACTGAAATCTTTACTGAGCACACTCTGACACACAAGGGGTCGCCACTGGGTGGAATGGACTCAAAGGCAACATCGGCCATGAAGGAAAAGGAAATCTTGCGTGTAAAGCTATTAGCACAATTCCTGGCCCACCATACAAGCCACTTAGAGCACCTCTGATTTGTCACTTGCCAGATTTCTAGTATCCAGTATGGTGTTCCACAATAGAAAGCCCTTAGCGATTGCTTCTGAAATAAATGATTGAGACTTTTTACTAAAAGTATCTCCAGATTTCATCTAGGTTAGGCTGGTAGCTCAAAAGTACACCCAGAGGTATCTCAGGACAAAAGTCTGGCAATCCACAAATCAGCCACTGAAAACTCTACAGATTTTGTTGTGTATATTTTCACCTCAACTTAAAAAACAAAACAAAAAACCTACAGCATAATTCTACTCTGTCACAGCAACTGGGTGGGGATGAGTAACATGCTGGAATCAACCCATCTTCCTACTTACAGGGATGCTCCAGACCTGCATTCCATCACTGTAGCCAATCATAATCAGCAAAGGTGGCTCATTCCCTGTGCTGTGTATTTCATGAAATTCCAGATTTCTTGATGTATCTGCATTAGAATTAAGTAACAAACAAGCAATGTCAATAACATTTCCTTAACGTCATTAGCGTAACAATTACTTAAGTTGTTTTTTAAATAAAGAGCAAGAGCAGAGGTAATTGGAAAACATCGTTTAAAAGAAAATGAACAAGAAAGTGAATTATAAAACTTCTGCATAGTATGTCATGCCAGTTGAACTTGATGTCCCCTGCAACCATGGTCCCAAGCCAACAGGTCCAACTACTCACTCCCTCAGGGTAGCTGGCTGTGGCCAAGAAACCACCTCAACCTTGCCCCTTGTCAGCTCTACTATTTTTATAATTAATTTTTTTTTAAAAAAGTGTCTAAATTCAGCATAAGGTTTTTATTTTTATTTGTATTTTTATTATGGTTTGGGTGAAAGTTTACAGAGCAAATTAATTTTCCATACAGAAGTTCACACACATTTTGCCTCATGACACTGATTGCAATTCCCCACAATGTAACAGCTCTCTTCCCACTTTCTCCCCACAGTTACCTCATCTCTGTGTCCTTCCCTCCCATGCACTCCTGCTCCTCAAGCTGTCTCCCTGTACAAACACTGCCCTTCTTTTCTCCCATGACTGATCACTCCAAGGAGTATATCTATCTACCTGATGTAAATATTCACTCCATATGCCTGTCTATTGTTTGGCCGGAAGCCACATGAATGAGTTCAATTCCAGACCTGAAGAGTGGCTAGGGGCCATAGTCTCAGGGGTTTCACCAGGCTCTAGCAAACCAGCAAACCTGGTCTTTTTTTTATGAATTTGAGTTTTGTTCCACACTGTTCTGCCACTCTATCCAGGATCTCCTGTACCAATCCCCCTCTGAGTGGCTGACAGTGGTAGCCAGACACCATAGAGTTCTTCTGGTCTCCTGGTCATACAGGATGAGAATCGTATGGTCTACCAGTCCCTTGGGCTAATTGTCTCCATGTATCTTTGGTTTTCTTCATTCTTCTTTGCTCTGGATGAGGAGAGACCCATCATTGCATCTAGGGGGCTGCTTGCAAGCTCTTAAGACCTCAATTGCTACTCACCAAAGTAAGCTGTAGAACAATGCTTCTGCGTAGTATGTTATGCCAGTTGAGCTTGATGTCCCCTGCAACCATGGTCTCGAGCCAACAGGTCCAACTACTCACTCCCTCAGGGTAGCTGGCTGCCAAGAAACCAACTCAACCTTGCTCCTTGTCAGCTCTACTATATACATGGACATTCTTACAGCACATACAAATACGCATGTAGGAACATTTGTCTGCTAACCCTATACATGATTATGGGCACACCACCCCCTGCCTAGACATACCTGATCGTTCAGCCTGTCTGTCCACCCATCTATCCACCCATAGATCAATGCTTGCCATCACTGACAACGCAGTACTGTGCATACAAAAGGGTTCACCTTTGATGTCTGTACCTCCAATGTACCTTTCTGTCTTCCTCTTCCTCAGTGCCACTGTGTTGATCACTCACATTTGGTACATTGTCCTTCCCTTCACCCAAATCAATACTTGTCTTTAACCTACCTAGCAGTGTTCTTTCCCCTCCCACTACTGGTAACCAACAAAGAAAGTTTTCTTCCATATATAAATCTTTCCTTGACTTTTTACAATAATGAACTAATACAATATTTGTCCTTCTGTGATTGACTTATTTCACTCAACATAATGTCCTCCAAGTTCATCCACATTATGCAGTGTTCTGTAGATTCTACATTACTCTTTAGTGCTACATAGTATTCCATTGTATGTACGTACCATTGCATACAGCACAAGGTTTTAAAAATCAAACCCTCACTAGAGAACCAAAAATATAAATATCAGAAATAAGATTACTTATAAATGATAAGTGAAAATGAAATATATTAGTAAAATTAATTAAATATAAATATGAAATATAATCATCTAGAACTTTAAAAACAAAAAAACTTTTTCTTGTGATTTGGGTAAAAGTTTACAGAGAAAATTTGTTTTCCATTCACAATTCATATGCATTTTGTTTTGTGACATTCCTTGCAATCACCACAATATAACAACACTCTTTCTACTTCCTACCATGTTTACCATTTCCACTGATCCTTCTTCCTATCCCTTCCTGCCTTCTGTGCTTTGTTGTTGTTTGCTGTCGAGTCGGCCCCGACTCATAGCGATCCCTCCTTGGGTTTCCGAGGCAGTATCACTACGGAAGTAGGATTGCCCAAC